TCTGTCCGCACGAAAACTCGAAAACGAATTGAGCGAGCGGCCTGGGATTTTCAGGGTCGTTTTGTGTCATAAAAGACAGATCGAGTTCGAAGATGAGCATTCTAGCTCAAAAATTGGATTTTTAAGAAATCAAAAACAACAGGTCCCAAAAATGACGTATTGTAAAAATATGTTTTATGGTTTTCTAAGGGGTAACTCATCAAAGTAGAGGCCTACGGTCAAAAATTTTGTCCGTTTTGCTCTAGCTCAAACCGTTGAGGCGCTAGAGAGTGTTTTTGACGAAAATAAGCGAAAAAATGTACAACCCTGCATGAATAGTCGAAGTGACGGGCGTTGACGGGCCGGAGGCCCGTATCTTTGTGCACATTTTTGCACTACCTGACTCAGGTGTCAGTGCCGCAGGCCAAGGTAAATGTATGCCAGGCGCGTCGCAGCGTAACAGTGTTTCGTGAGGTATCGCGAAGCCTGTTACGCGAGACGTGGTCTGGCGTACATCTACCTTGTAATAAACTAATCGCTCAGCCAATTAGTACAAGGTAGATGTAGGCCGGACGACGTCTCGCGTAACAGGCTTCGCAATACCTCACGAAACAGTTACGCTGCGACGCGCCTGGCATACGTCTACCTTGGCCTGCGGCGCTGACACCCGAGTCAGGTAGTGCCAAAATGTGCACAAAGATACGGGCCTCCGGCCCGTCAACGCCCATCACTTCGACTAAGCATGCAGGGTTGTACTTTTTTTCGCTTATTTTTGTCAAAAACACGCCTCAACGGTATGGACTAGAGCAAAACGGACAAAATTTTCGCCCATAGGGCTCTACTTTAATGAGGTACCCCTTAAGAAACCATAATTTTTTAATTTTTTAAACGTCATTTTTGGGACCTGTTGTTTTTGATTTTTTTTAAATCCAATTATTGAGCTAGAATGCTCATCTTCGAACTCGATCTGTCTTTTTGTGACACAAAACGGCCCTGAAAATCCCAGGTCGCTCGCTCAATTCGTTTTCGAGTTTCCGTGCGGACAGATACACAGACAGACACACAGACACACAGACAGACAGACAGAAAAAGTTTTTTCCGACCAGACGGAGTAATAGGCTTCGCTAATCGCTCAGCCAAAAATTTAACAATAACAAGGTAGAGAGAAACAATGATTTTTGACTAGTTGGCTGAGCGATTAGCGAAGCCCATTACTCCACTGACCCGAAAAGTTTCATTCTGTTTGTGTGTTTGTTTGTGTGTTTGTCTGTCTGTCCGCACGATAACTCGAGAATGAATTGAGATAGCGACCTGGGAATTTTAGGGTCGTTTTGTATCACAAAAAGACAGGTCGAGTTCGAAGATGAGCAGTCTAGCTCAAAAATTGACTTTTTAAAAAATCGAAAACCGCAGGTTGCAAAATGTGTTGTTTTTTTTCAAATTTTTTTTTTATGGGTTCTAAAGGGGTAACTCGTCAAAGTAAAGCCTTCTGACCAAAAATTTTGTCCGTTTTGCTATATCTCGTACCGTTTCGGCGCTATGGGGCATTTCTTGGCGCAAACGTGACAGAAATGGTCGGGCCGCAGGCCCGACCATCGCCGCTGGCAGGCCAAGCACGCCCGGCCCCTGCCGAACGGAGTTGCCGGCGGAGCGAAGCGGAGCTGGCAACTTCGTTTGGCGGAAGGGCGGGCCTGCTTGTTACATAACAATCTGTCAAAATTCAAACTTCTAATGAAAACTGTTACCAAACAGCAGAAGTTTCATGACCCTAATTTTAAGAGTAACAAGGTAGATGTACGCCAGACCACGTCTCGCGTAACAGGCTTCGCGATACCTCACGAAACACTGTTACGCTGCGACGCGCCTGGCATACATCTACCTTGGCCTGCGGCGCTGACACCTGAGTCAGGTAGTGCAAAAATGTGCACAAAGATACGGCCCTCCGGCCCGTCAACGCCCGTCACTTCGACTAATCATGCAGGGTTGTACATTTTTTCGCTTATTTTCGTCAAAAACACCCTCTAGCGCCTCAACGGTTTGAGCTAGAGCAAAACGGACAAAATTTTCGCCCGTAGGGCTCTACTTTGATGAGTTACCCCTTAGGACACCATAAAAAAAAATATTTTTAAAAAACGTCATTTTTGGGACCTGATGTTTTCGATTTTTTCAAAATCCAATTTTTGAGCTAGAATGCTCATCTTCGAACTCGATCTGTCTTTTTATGATACAGAACGACCCTGAAAATCCCAGGTCGCTCGCTCAATTCGTTTTCGAGTTTTCGTGCGGACAGATACACAGACAGACACACAGACACACAGACAGACAGACAAAGTTTTTCCCGACCAGACGGAGTAATAGGCTTCGCTAATCGCTCAGCCAA